CCCCTCTCGTCTCCTGAGTAACATTCTGACACTTTGGGTGATTTGGACACCGCGACTGGATGGCCATTTGAGGAAGATTTAGCTGAACACCACGGCAGTGTCAGTCATCAGTCATGGAGGAGGAACCGGAAGTTCCACCACATCAAGAGAGGTTCTAAAGATTCTGGTCAGGACTTCCCATTCCAGGTTGTTTGTCATTTACATCCAAGACGTGGCCAGTGAGCAAGCAGACCACCTCAGCCGGCAGCTCCTGGCCCCGGAGGAGTGGTCCCCATACTCCTGAGGTCTTCCGGTGTAACGGAGAGGGATGCTGAATGGGAACCTCCAGGTTTGTCTCCTCCGGTGGAAGCATTGGACGCTCTGGAGAGTCCGTGGGATAAGGACGGCCTTATACGTCTTCCTCATCTGCTCGGCACAGTCAAGATGGAGGGCACCCTGGTGGTCCTCATAACTGTGGACTGGCCCAGGAGGATGCGCTCCTCTGACTTGATCAGACTCCCGGCAGGAGCTCCACGGACTCTTCCAGAATGTTCAGAGCTACTGTCTCAGGTCTCCGCCCGCGGGTAAGTCCAGATTCTTCCATACAAAGGCGTCTCCCAACTGGCGGTTCCCGCAATGCTAAAAGCGTGGAAGTCCTGCAAGGTCCCCCATCCCACCTGGAAGATGCCACATACATTCATACCAGAACATTCTCCATGGGACAAATGGGTCCAGATTAGCATTTGGACCCGTGTACCATGATGGGTCAGATCTTTGCACTGGCCATCTTCTTCCAGTGACACTGGCCATCTTCTTCCAATGTTGGCTTCCCATTCTTTGATCAAGGCCTCTGTGCCGGGTGTGTGTCATAACCCGTCTGTATCTGAATTCCTGTGTCCTTCAATCAACTCCAAGAAATAGATTGTGAGCAAAAATATCCCTTTTCCGGGTGTGATGAGCGGCTCGTGAGATCTTCTCCAGAGTCACCGTACACCAATGAGGATTCACCACTAATACCTGCCCTGTGTGATCGTCATGTGTGATCGCCGTGTGCCCTGTGTGATCGTCATGTGTGATCGCCGTGTGCCCTGTGTGATCGCCGTATTTGTGTTTCCTCTTAGATTTATGTAGTGAGAGTTGTACGGGACGTTCAGGATGAATCTGCCTTCATTTTCCGTACATTTGATGAGTTCCAGGAGCTGCACAACAAGCTGAGCATTCTCTTCCCGCTCTGGAAGCTGCCGGGGTAAGTGTTGGCTCTGTTCTTTCTCATGGTGGGTAATGGGGGGATGAGTGTCGGCTCTGTGTGATCCCTCGGGGATTAGTGTTGGCTGCGCCTGGGCTCTCTCGGGGTTGGTATGGATTGTCGAGTGTTGGCTCCGCCTGGGCTCTATCGGGGTTGGTATGGATTGCTGAGTGTTGGCTCCGCCTTGGCTCTCTTGGGGTTGGTATGGATTGTTGAGTGTTGGCTCTCTCGGGGTTGGTATGGATTGCTGAGTGTTGGCTCTCTCGGGGTTGGTATGGATTGCTGAGTGTTGGCTCTCTCGGGGTTGGTATGGATTGTTGGCTCCGCTTTGGCTCTCTCGGGGTTGGTAAAGGATGAAGCTGTAGAGGTTCCTCTATACCAGTCTTGCTCCGTCAGTCAGTGGCCGCAGCGATGTCTCAGATAACTGGCGTGTCCTGACTCTGAGTCTTTGGGGACATCTCTCTCTCTCTCTCTCTCTCTCTCTCTCTCTCTCTCTCT